GAATTTCTTTACAGGCTGATTTTGGCTTGGAACATTTCATATAGATTGAACTGTTATTTATACCAAGCAGTTTACAGTTATTTGAAGGATAAATAAGTTACACAGGGTTCCCAAGACCATGGAAATCTTGGAAAAGTCATGGAAATTGAAAATGTCATTTTACAGGCCTGGAAAAGTCATGGGATTGTAGTATCTCTTTCACGCAACTACAGCGTTCTGTTAAGTTATCATTCGGCTATTATCATTATTTCCGAATGTATGCACCTTTTATTTAAAAGAAACGACAATAAATGCACTGACAGTATTTTGAATGTTAAAAAACTATAAAACCAAACCATAAGGTGAGTGAAAAGAGTTAACATTTCTTATTTAGCTCTAAAAGTATGATCAATTCTACACATATAGGTGCCATAAAATCATGGAAAATTAACTTTAGGTCATGAAAAAGTCATGGAAAAGTTTTGAAATTTTGTCAGTGAATGAAAAATAGTGGGAACCCTGGTTACATAATACTCAGGATCTCATATGTAAAAAGTTAACTGTGTTTTTTGAGGAAAATGCCATTTTCTGTCCCTTTACTAGTATCGTTTAATGTCGAGTATCTGCAGATATTTAATGTCAATGTACCAATATCGTTATCGGAACTGAAAAAGCTGAGTCGATGCATCCCTAGTGAGTGGCCTAGTTGATTTGATTCTAGTGGCCAATGCATGGATTTGGCCGTAGCAGTGGTAGTTGTTGACTCTGAGAGCGAGTGAGAGATCTGACCTCATAGTGGCCCTTTCACAGTGGGCCTGTTGTGTCCTCAACGAGAGCCCCGGACACTGAAAGAACTCCACTGTCCACTGTACGACACAAATGACTTTACAATGGTCTTCTACTCACTGCAGCGCCAATCAACTCAGACAATGGTAAAGTGACTGTGAATATGGTGACAGCTTTTAGACCAACGTTATATAGCCTCCCTAAATAATAAAGAAACGTAAATTCATGAATGCAAACTAAACTAAACTAATATCTGCAGCGAAAATTGACATTGTTAAAAGCATGTTACATTTATCGAAGGTGCTGACCTTAAAGAGCCCATATTACTCAAATTTCTGGTCTTTTCAAAAACATTTCTGGAGTTGTGTTTTGTTTCATTCACACACGTTTAACCCTGCACCCTCTCAGTTCAATTCAAGTTTATTTATATAGCACATTTAAAACAACTTCAGATGACCAAAGTGCTTCGAATAAAAGTCAACCAAAACAAACTCTCCAGTCCACCACTGTGTTTTCTTCTTACAACTTCACTGGAATTATTCTGGATAATTTCAACCCTGGAATTGTCACTATCTACTGAACAAAAAGTAAAAGCTAGCTGTTATACTTTGAAAACTACCACTTCATGATATCACAAGGTAGAACGATGCATTTTGAGCTTTGGAGATGTTGACAGTCTAATAATAAATGTGTAAATGAAATGAAACACAATCCCAGGTATGTTTTTGATGCAGTAACAACATTATAAATTAATGACTTAGCACTCAAAAAGTAAATTTTGCGTAATATCAGACCTCTAAATTAAAAACAGCTGTGTAAATATTAAGGATGTAATAATAACCAAAATATCACGATATCGTATCGTCAAAAATCTCTCAATAATATTGTGGACCATCACAATATATTGAATCACAAGTTTCAGTTTCTTTGATTAAATTCATTGTTATGGTGCAGCAATATTTAAAAAACAGAGGGAACTACATCGACCATGATCCTTTGCTCTGTTTTGATGCAAACTACATGAAGAAATACCAGTTCTAAGCATTTTAAATCTTGTCAAGGCATTTTAAGAGGAAAAAGTAGCATATTCACAATTTTTTTTAGCCTCCAAAAAGTACTGTAATAAATACCGTACAGTGAGAAGTATATCGTGAAAATATTTTACCGTGAGATTTGGATATAGTTACATTCCTATTAAATATGTTTAAATAAATTGCCAACAGTTCAAATGTTTTTTTCACACTTTTCAAAGACAGTACATGGGTATTGCTTAGTTTTATGGCCAAATTCATGTTTTCAAGGCCCTGTAGCCATTTTTGACAACAAATATGGAACATGGTTTGTTTTAGTTTAAGCTGTGAGCTTTGCCCAAACTTTACTCCGTGTAATTCTGCTCCATGAGAGAGACACAACTACTGATTTTGACTCCAGCCCTCCAAGCTCCTTTGACCGGCCCTCCAGCCCCCCTGCCCCCCACCTCTTGAACTGGCCCTATGAGGCAATCCTCAAAAGTTGTCATGGCCTATTTTTTAAAATTACTTTTTGGCAAATAATAACATGTTTGCATCTTGTATTTTGTTGATTTTTTTCAATTAAAACACAATATTTATATGAAGTATTTATATTTATATTTGAATAATTATATGATGTCCTTTTGCCGCCGAATTTTCGTCACCTGACAAGCTCGAGATCAAACAGTGAGAGTCAACGCACGTGCAGAGTTCTGTAGTGCAGTTAAGGACAGCAAAATGGCGAGTGTTAAAGTAGAAGAAAAGTTGACAGAGATTGCAGAATTTTCAAAGAACAATGGACGACTGATTACTATTTGTTTAGTGTAAGGACCGTGAAGTTTGTCTGATATGTAAAGAAAGTGTGGCTGTTTTCAAAGAATATAATCTGCATCATCAGGGTCATTCAATTCTGTTACATGGCCGAACTGACCACGTTTAAATTATTTAAACGTGCATGGATGACATATAAAACTTGGTATAAAGCTCCATGCCCCCTCTTTAATGATTCTAATATAATATGACAAATAAACTAACATTCTGTCACTTATTTTTATTCACAAACAAATAAAATTAAAATCAAATCAATCAAATAAAAATCAGGCACTTTAAATAAAACGTACTGAAATTAACTGGTCCTAACACTGATCCTTGTGGAAAGCCATTGTTTTTACATGTTCTCAACAAATTGAAAGGTATGCAGCTGTGTAATAAGTTTAACAAGCTACTTTTGTCAGTTGTCATTTTAGTCTTTCCTTGGGGTGGAGCTTCACAAACTCATTGACCTCTCTGCCTGGGAGTTTACCACTAAGCTTTTTAAACTATGTCTGACACGGCAGCTTTTGTGGTATTCTCCAAATACATGATTTTAATGAAGTGATGATGTCCCTAAAACGTCTGGATCATTTCTTGTCTTGGCATGTCTTGTTTTTCCTCCCCCTTTGTCGCATACCCATGATTGTTTATGTCTGTTCTAGAAATTCTCAAGTACGTGCTAAAATCTGGCACAGCCGCAGAGAGCAAGGTGTCCTAAAAACAGCTCTGTGTTTCTGCCTTGAATCGCAAATCGTAATCTTTTCAGCATGGAGTAATGTGTTCCTATATAATATGCAGTCAAACAAGAGTTGTCAGTACAGTCGGGGTGTGTAACCTCAAAGAAAGCTGTGGCAGAAGTATGTCAAAGTATGTACTATGTGAAATGGAAAATCTTAACACAGCTTATGGACAGTTATAGCATATGAAATATGTATTATTAATTCCTTCATACAATTATTTTATGAATTATTTACAACCAGCTAAAATGTGGTCATGATAGAAGAAAATTGATGTTGTCACGATACTAAAATTTCAAGATTAGTTTTTGTGGACTTGACACCACAATGATAAAAACGCTTTTTATTTAGACAGTAGAATGTGATTTTGAACATAAATGGTAGGGATGTAACAATAACCAAAATATCGTGATATCGTATTGTCAAAGTTCTCACAATAATATCGTGGACCTTCATAATATATATCGAATCACAAGTCTCTTTGCTTAAATTAAGAGTTATGGTGCAACAATAGCTAAAAAAAAGGCACAGAGAACTACATAGACCATGATCCTTTGCTCCATTTCAGTGCAGACTACAATTAGAAATAACAGTTCTAAACACTTTTAAGTCTTAGTTCTTTGGATTAAGTCTTGTCTTGTCTTTAAGAGGAAAAAGTAGCAACAGTTTTGATAGGCTCTACAAAATATCACAATAAATATTGTACTGTGAGATGTATATATCATGAAAATATCATACAGAGACACTGGATATTGTTACACCCCTATAAAATGGTAGTACTTTTAGTAGTACTTAGGGATGTAACAATAACCAGAATATCGTGATATCGTAAAAGTCTCACAATAATATCGTGGGCTGTCACAATATATCGAATCACAAGTTTCTTTGTTTAAATGCATGGTTTTATAGTAGCAACAGGTTATGAACTTAGAGAACTACATATCCCATGATTCATTTCAGTGCACACAACATGAAGAAATATGTTTTTTTGGGGATTATGACGGAAATAATTCACACCAAAATCTTGTCAAGGTATTTTAAGAACAAAAAAGTGTCCCATCTACAATTATATTAGCCTCTTCAAAATGTTTCAGTAAATATCGTACCGTGAGATGCATATCGTGACAGTATCGTACCGAAAGATTTGGTTATCGTTATATCCCTAGAAGTACTTTTACCATGTGGACTTATATCTGTGTTATTCCTCATTATGTCCTGTGAATATATATCTTTAATATATGACGATATAATACAATACTTGCTCAAATATGATTTTTTTTTCCTATTGAATAAAATGAAACAGTATTTACTTTTACTCAAAAGAGTTTGCAAAACAGTTCTTGTAAAACAGTGTTCCAAAGAGCACTGTTCTTTGGAAATGCAAATATTATGATGTATGATTATGTTAACACTCATAAACCATATCATGCCCAAAGTTACTCTCTAGAGTTTTATTACCTTTTTCTTTCCATATACTTTTTTTTATTTTTACTCTTGTCAGTTTTGGGTGCTATATACTTAACTTAAATAAAAATGTTTAAAGTTTAAAGTATGAATGCAATTTACAGCTACTCTCCCCAGTTAAAGTTTGTAACATAGTAGATGATTATATAGATATGTTATGGGTTGATTTTTTAAAATACTAACTTTATGCTTTCTTTGTTTTTCTGTGCAGGCTTTCAAAGAAATGCTGTATGCTGCTCAAGACCAGGCCCCGTCCGTTGAAGGTACTACACAACAGTGAATGAGACAGTGATTTACAAAAACTCAACTCTTTTTATTTTTATTTTTATGTCCAAACTTCAGATAGAGTATGAATATGAACCGTTACGAGGATATAGGGCAAATAGTGATTTTGACAAACATTGTGATTAGACTTGCAAATTATAGTTTAAAACCTGGATTCGGTTCAGAGTTCACATTTTTAATTCAAACATGTCCAGAAGCATTCACATTTGAGAGAAGACTGAAATACAAACTGATAATTTTATACAAAAATTGCATGCATTTTAGAACATGTTTGTGAAGATCTAAACTACAGGGTTAGCAGTTTTTTGGTTTTGATGAGACAGGATCTTTTGTTGTTTGCCAAGGACTTAAATAATTGCAGTATTTGCGATTTGCTAATTGTGATTTTGATTAAATTGCTTTTAAAGAGAGGGTATTAAAAGAAATTGACTTTTTGTAGCATAATCTAGTGATCTCTCCTGGGCCCTATTCAGACTCTTCAGTAGACAAAAGCGTGATACAAAACGATACTTTACAACTTCACAAGCCTGACGCAATGTGCAGTAGTTTTCATTTCATAGTTTGAGTAGTTGTGATATAGCCACAAAGGGGGGGTGACTCAGCACAGAGAGCAAAGGGAGGGGGACTCAAAAAACAAAACTGAAACTTATAATATATAGCATTTTCAGAACAATAAATGGTAACATGGTGATTTAAATATGTCTTGTGTTAAAGGTGCATTGTTTAAACCAGGCATGTCAAACTTAGGCCCGGGGGCCAAATTTAGCCGGTGATACAATTATATTTGGCCCACGAGATCATATCAGATATGTATTAGAGCTGCCCGCCGGCTACAGATAGACTATAGAGACATTATTTATTTAAATTTTTGTTGTAATATTATATTATGCTTGTTCCAGATTAATTGTTTAAGCAAAACTATTATTAAACATTTATTTTAATAAGAAAAGGTTTAACATTACATATCTCGAAAGAAGAGAAAACATGCAGACGTTATTGAAATTTTTCTATAAATATTTACTTTGGCCCACGACTTAATCCCAGTTTTTAATTTTGGCCCTCTGTGAATTTGAGACACCCCTGGTTTAAACTTTTCTGGTGGAAGCTCTGTCAATTGCTTTTCTTCATTGTGATGTTATTGTTTTGTCTGAAATGTTTCACAGTATGGCATTAAACCTTTTTATCTTCATGGAAATCAAACCAAGACCAAGACCCCCGCTCACACTCACAATGCCTGTTTTTCTTGGTATTTTTGAGTTATAAAACCACCTGCAAATGAATAAATAAAAATAAATAAAAAGCAGAGCTGTTTAATGCCATACTGTGGAACATTCCAGGGAGAGCAGTGACCAAAAAGTTACATCTTGAACAGTTAATACCACACAGAAGTGCACTACCCCCTTTTTAATCTTGCAGCCCTTCTTGGACATTACAAGGCTCCTTTCTGTTTTGTCACAGCTTTTATAAAATCTGACTTCATGTTGTTATTGTTTTTAATGATGTGTCTCATGTGCAAACTAAAAACAGCCCTAAATCTTCTTAACCCGGTGATCACAGCCTTATTTTTCCATGTAATGACCATCCTCAGCATGGAAAAATACCCAACAACACACGCCTCGCTCCGTGTTTGTGGATGTCTCATGGCTTCTTCTGTCACACACTGATTTGCATGTGAAGAAGAACATTTGGTTACAGGGAGACCACACTGCAGTCATTGAGGCCTCACACAAGTTGTTCTGAATTTTATGATCATTCGTCAATGTCAGTGATAATTTGATACAGCAAAAAAGGTGTTGTCTATTAAATGCTGGATTTCGACAGATATTTTGACCAGCTGTGGCTTGTATGAATCAAATGCCGAATGGAACTGACCAGTTTAATGTTACTTTTTAATATTTTTTCCCATATTCATCACTCTCGATTTTCGATTTTCTTCCATCTTATTGAAAACCGAGATAGACATGCTTCAGACATAAAGAGCAGAGTGTCAGGCTCACTACAGTGTGATTTCATGTTGATAGGACTGATAATTATGGAGAGGATTTTTTTATCTTAAATGATTTATATAAAATCATGTGGACAAAACGTCCACACCACACACACGAGGAGAATCTTAAGGGATTTTAAATCTCCGATCACAAAGACTGCTGCGGGATACATCTGCAGGGTAGCCGCAGGGTCTTAAAAGGGTTAAAAAGGTCTTAAATTTCATGTTCTTAAATTAAGGCCTTAAAAAGTCTGAAATTATGTTGTCTAAGTCTTATTTTTTTCACAAATGTCTTAAATTTCATTAGCCTGTTTTTTTGTGTACTCAACCGGGCTGCAGTGTGATGGTAAACGGAGGGAGGAAGAAAAAACAACAACGTGAAATCATGTAACGTGAGTGAGCATCTAATTTGGAGTATGTGCAAACAATACTTCGGTTTCTAGCGCCGGTGGCAATGAGTAAACAGTCAGTACAGTGGAGAAAGATGTTGGTTGGATCATGGGGAAGTGTAAGTTTAATCCACAGTGGCTCTTAGATTGTAAATATAGTACTGTAGTTGGTTGGTCATTATTAGAATTGGATCTGGTGTTTTTCGCCCACATAATGGGTGTAATGTTGGTCTTAATTTCCATTTAAGTGGTCTTAAAAAGGTCTTTAAAAAGTCTTAAATTTGGGGTAGTCAAACCTGGGAATACAGTGTACAGGCTAAAGTTGTGAACTGTTTCCTATCGACTCGCTTTGAGACTCTTAAGTGTTCAAAAGATCATAGCACTGTACTTTTAGTTTAGATGCAAGTCAAAATTGTGTTATTATTTGTGAAATGTAGCTCAACACTTCAGACACATGATTTTTCAAGCATAAAATGTTGGCGATAAAGTACACTGGAAGTAGAGTCTCACTGACACCACACGTATGAGGAGCACAGCAGCTTCGTAATCGCACACAAAGACACAAAGTCGAACTCGGGGAGAAGCAAAATTGCAGCTGAAATCGGGCAAATTCTCCTGTAGTGTGAGGCGGCCTTTAGTTTTTGTCTGTAACGAGTCATAGAAGTGATTCATTCGACCTTTTACTGCTCAAATATTATCCTATAGCCAGAAAAATTACGAACAGACAAATTTCCCAGTAGTGCAAAGAAAATATAATAAATACATAAATAATTTCCCTTGTGGATCAGTAAAATTTGTTCAAGTCTAAATGTAAGTCTACTTCGCCTTTTACTTTCAAATGGGCTGTTACAGTTTTTGTCGTGTAACAAAGTAAAACTTGTTGCCCCAGTAGATATGATCATAAAAGTCAAAATGATACCGATTTGTGCTGTCGATATCATGATATCGTGTCGTCGAATGTCATCGCAACACATCGAATTACAAGTCTCTTTGCTTAAATTCATCCTCATGGTGCAAAAATGGAGAGAACTACATCTACCATGATCCTTTACTCTGTTTCAGTCCAATTTACATGACAAAATAACTGTTATTAAGCACTTTTAAATGTTAATTATTTGGATTATGACAGTAAAGTAGCATATTCACAGTTTAGTTAGCTTTCATAAAATATCAAAATAAATATTGTACCGTGAAATGCATATCGTTGAAATATTGTATCGAGAGATTAGGGCAGTGTTTCCCAAACTTTTTTTCTGGGGTTCCATATTTTAAAAGTCACAAATCTTCGTGACCCAAGTCAATAGACATTATTCATAAATCAAAAAAATTAATTTGTGACCATTATTGAACATTAATGAGGATATTTTATTGTTGACTGAGTGATCGTGTCTCTCTGAACAATTAGTATTACTGTATTTTTTGGACTATAAGACGCACCGGATTATAAGGTGCAATATCAATAATGTTGCATTGTTTCATCTATTTTCATACATAAGGCTCACCGGATTATAAGGCGCATTAAGCGAAACAAACAGACAACACTTGAGACTTGAGACTTTTTTTTATTTCCTGCGAGGAGGACTCAAATATAGATTGAGTAATAAGGTGTTTAATGCAGCTTTGCGCACATTTGTTTATATTTTACAGAAACGAAACTTAAAACCACATGGCTCATTTGCATAAAGTATAAGTGATAAAAAAAAACAAAAAAAAAAACAACAGCTTGCTCCTTGTGCGCTGATGTGGTTCAGCTTCTGTCAGACTAAAGAACATGACTCAGTGGAATATGTGTGAAAATCGGTTCGAGGTCAGTAACCACAACCAGAATTAATATATAAGGCGCACTGGATTATAAGGCACACTGTTGATTTTGCCAAAAATTAAGGGATTTTAAGTGCACCTTATAGTCCAAAAATATGGTACTCAAGTTATAAACAAGGAAAAACAGTAATCATTGTTTTCCCACAGAAATTTGGTTAGGCAAGGCAGTGTTATCAAAAAAAGGTGAGGAGTGGGGGGTACGCGGAGATATATGTATTTGTGTATCACAGACCTATATGCAGATCGTCACAAGGCGACCCAAAAGAAAATCTCTTGCGACCCACCTGAAGGACGCGATGCAGTCTTTGGGAAACAATGAATTAGAATATAGTCACAACCCTAGTTAGCAGTAGCGTGACAGCAGAATTCCACTCCGACCTCAGAAAGTTGTGAAGCTCTCTAACAAACTCATTGCGTTTACGATGCTAGGAATGTGTTAGGAAAGTGAAGACCGCTGCGAACAATTTCGAGTGAGTTCAGTTTGTCACATTCTTGAGACGGTAAAAATAGATACGGCGCCTTTAACAACTGTGGAAAAAATTATTGACTAACAAAATACTGTAGCGAGTCCTGGAGGAGAAATGAAACAAGCTTTTGGAAACGGATGCTGTGTTCCCCTGGGCCTTGCTCACAAAGTCATCCAAATGTCAGACTGTTCAGCGGGCACGCACACAGGAATTTTGTTTTGAAAAGTCACCAGCAAAACTGCAGTATCTATGACTTGACCCCAATATAAAAAAAAACAATATAAAGGTCCAATATTACACAAAATTGACTCTTG